GCCGAAAAAGGACCCTCTGACACATCGGTCCCCCTCCCAAAAAACCCAGGGAGGGGAGGGGGAGGGTTCCCCTCCCCGAAGGTAAGAGGGGTTGCTGAAGCACCCTTAGACCACCTGTCGCCCGAAGGGCTGGCGGGATTCCAGGCCAGTGCTTCCCCCCGCCGAGCCCGCCCTCCCCTTCTGCCCCATGCAGCTTCAGCCGTGCCCTGTGGCGAAGTCGTTCCGCTGCAGGGCACGGCTGCAGCTGCCCTGCAGCTGTGCCCGGAAAGCTTCCCACGAAGCGTTGCAGGTGGTCACGGCTGGCCCTCGCCGTGCCTTCTCCAGGGAGATGTCGGCTGGATGCGTCGGCGAGTCCAGGTCGATGCTTCCCCCCGCCGAGCCCGCCCTCCCCCTCTGAGCCTCCCTCAGCACCCGTCGGCCCCAGGTGGAGGTGATGGGCCCAAGTGCTCTGCGCCTCCGATCTGTGCGTGTCGACTGCAGTGCCGGTGCGCCCTCGTGCCGACGCGGGCTCTGCAGGCCCATGATGGGCTCTGAGTGCCGAGTAGCGCACTGATCGCACCAGCAGCGATCGTCGTGGCCAGAACTCTCGCCCAGCAGAGGGCGAGCCAGATGGCGGGGCCTGCCCCTCAGGAGGCCCAGGCGGGGCCGTGCCTCGGCGTCACCGCCTTCGCGGCCAGCGCGGCGGCCGAGGTCGGAGGCGGGCCCGTCAGTCGCGGCCGCGGCGTGCCTCCCCGGCAGCGGTTCTCGTGCTTGTGGGGGGCCTCCTCCCCCGCAGACCCCCTCGCGTCGAGAAGAGGTCATTCGCGATTTTCGGCCCCCAGGGGCCCTTCCCGGGCCTCGGGGCCGTCAAAAGACGATCCAGGATGAGAAGCCGGTCCCGGGGAAGGGGTCCAGACCTTTGGGGGTCGACGCCGTGAAAGAACACGACGTGGGGGGGTTGGGCCTGGAGGCTCTCCTCGTCGCCGCGGCTGGGCCCGCCTCGAAGAGCGGGTCAATGTGTGTCAGGCTGGGCGCTTTCGTCTTCTGCTTGGGCCCCAGGACCCTCCCAGATCGGTCCGGCTCGAAACGCGGCGCAGAAACCTGGGGTCTATTATGGGCGTGATTTTTTCTTACGAGGCAGCCATTTTTTTACTGCGTCGGATCTTGGGGATGGGCCCCGGGAGGGGTCCAGAGGAGGGCCGGGCTTGGGCGGAGTTGGGCCATATATGGGCCTGAGCCAGTGCGCGGTCCCAGAGGTCCGACATGGAGGACAGCACAGCCCACCCATCTAGGCCTCCTACTACAAAGGGGATGGTTACGCTGGGGTGTGGTTTGCGATGGGCACCGTTGGGGCCTGGGGGGCACAACACTGTCGTCGTCGGGCCTCCGCGGGGCGCGGAAGAACTCTATCTAGGACCCCGCTCGCCCCGCAAGGGTGCCCCTCAGGATGTTCCCCAGGGTGCAGGTTGCAAACCACACCATTTGCAAGCCACACCCTTTGGAGTCGCCGAGCCTAGATGGAGTCGGAGTAGATGGGGTCGGAGGATCGCGCTGCATCGCCGACGCATCGCCAGCGTCGCCGATGCATCACCGATGCGTCGCCGATACATCGATGATGCATTGGCGATGCGGCGCGATCCTCCGACCCCATCTGCTCCGACCCCCTACCCCATATATGATCGTGGGCTCTGGGTCCTCGGCCCCCCCCCCCAGATGGGATGGGTCCCAGGGTCCTCGAGCCCACCCCACCCCCCCCAGATGGGATGGGGGGAGGAGGAGGAAGGAGGAGGAAGGAGGAGGAGGAGGAGGAGGATGGAGGAGGAGGAGGACGGACGACGACGACGAAGGCGAGACGACGACCGACGACGACGACGACGACGACGCGACGACGACGACGACGACGACGACGACGACGACGACGACGACGACGACACCGACAACGACAACGACGACGACAACAACGACGATGACGTCGACGGCACCACCAGCGGTGGCGGCGACGACGTCGAGCACCGGAGCTGTCAAGATGAAGCCAATCCCAGCCACACGCCGCACCCACACCTCACCCACAGGGGGGGAGGGAGGGGGGGAGGAGGACCATGGCGTCACCCCGCACACACCCACAGCAACACACCACACCCACACCACATCCACAGGGGGGGGGAGGCATCACGCCACGCCCACGCCCACAGGGGGGGGGCGGAGGGGGGCATCGCGCGGGGGGGGGCGATGGCATTATCATTGGGGGTGGGAGGGCCCAAACCCTCGACCATATATGACCCCATCTAGGAGGCCTCCAGGGGGTCCTGGCTGGGGGTGAGGGTGGCTCTTGCGCCCAAAAGCTTCCCTGACCACCAGCCAGGGCCTCCTGGATCACAAGGTCGCGAGTGAGGGTCCTGGCTTGGGGTGGGGGCGGGCCGTGCTGCCCAAAGACACGGCAGCAAGCCGCCGGCAACGGAAAGAGCACCATCGTCGGAGCTCTGGGGATGCCTCCGCTGGCCCTCCGATCGAGGGCCACGCGCGCGCCGACTTGGGCACCGGGTCCCAGTACAACCCGGTGCCGCTGGGCGGCCTCGGCGACGCGTTCGGGTGCCTGCCAGCCTGGAACTCATCCCTAGCCCTATGATTGGCATCGCCTGGTCTCGATGCCGATTTTGGGGGCTCCTTTAGTTCATGAGGGCGCATCCCTAAGATTATCATCGCACTTGGGCTTGTCAATTCCTTGAGATCCAACGTCTCGGAAACATTGAGGCATCGTGAAAGATCACGACTGGAGCCTTGGACCCTATCTTTTTGCTCCACTTTTCTAGCCGGATCCATCTGTGAGGGTCTCGGGGCCCGAAACTGGGCGAAAACGTCCGGCTAGAAAAAATGAGTCGCCAGGATCTCAGGGTCTTAGGGGTACAGTCAGACCGGGATGGGCAACCTTCCCAAGGGTAACATTGCATCCTTGCCTCCTCGGTCCATCCTTGGCCATTTTCGTTGGCCGCGCCCCGCTCGAAAAGCGTCCAAATGGGCGTCCCAAATCGGGGGTGGACAGAACCCCCACCCTGACACGTCGATTAGTGAATTGTCCGTTTTCGGTTCTCGAGAGGGTGCCGCGGCCGTCATTTTCCAGGCTTGCGCCCGCCAGGTTTGGGCCCGAGGCCGATTTTCACTGAACCGCGTTGTGCTAGAGGGGGCCGTGCCCATCCCCGACCCAAGGCCCTTGCATGCTTCCCGCGCATCCTTATGATACGGCCCGACTGTCGGGCTGCGATCGAGGCTGGTGAGGTGCCCCTGGTGCCGGAGGCCCCTGCGGCTCCTGGCCGCCGAGCAGGCGGGCGAGTGCTCCTCGGGCGGCGGCGGCTCCGAGGCCCCGAGCGGCGCGCTCGGAGGCGGCCGGGAACCTGTCAGAGCCCCGAGAATCATCGCGAGGCCCTCGGAGCCCTTCGGAGGCCCTCGGAGGGGGGTGTGCCCCCGAATCTCGGGGGCCCACCCTGAGATCCTGGCGCATCGGCTTTTGCGAGCCGGGCGTTCTATCGCCAGGTTTCGGACCCCGAGGAGCCTCACAAAGTGATCCGGCACGGAAAACGGCGCAGGAAGATGGGGTCTAGGGCTCGGGTCGTGATTCTCTACGGTGCCTTAAATTTTGCGCCGTCGGATCCCAGGGCAAGCCGGAGTTGCCCCAGACCAGAGTTATCCTGGAGAATTCGGGACTCAGCGTCGCCGATGCATCGGGGATGCGGCGCGATCCCCTCCCTGACCCCAGCTACTCGGACCCCATCTGGGAGGCTTCTCTAGTGCGGCAGTATCCAGGCCGCCCAGATGGGGCTCGGGATTAGTGGGCATATGCGGAGCTCCAGGCCGCCCGGAGCCCTTCCCGAGTCGTGGGGCCTATGGGGCCGGTCAGGGGCAACTCCTGGTTGGCGCGGCGGGGGCCGGTCAATGAGGGGGGGCGATACATGGAGGGGCAGCGAGGGCTGCCGAAAAGGGGCCCTTCGGGACTCCGAAGGGGGCCCTTCCGGGCCCCAGCTTGAGCAGCCCACTTCAAAGCAGGCACCTGCTTTCCAAGCTGTCGAAGGTAAAGTGCGGTTACTTTGGGAGACCTTTCCGAGTCCAAAGCTGGAGCGCGCACTGGAACAGCATCCGGCAGTGAGTAGCACCCGCGAGGGGCCCTCTTGGGCCCAAGAGGGCACCTTTTGGGGCCCGAAAAAAGGGCACTCCTCTCCCCCCCCCCCCCAGGTATCGCCGCCCTCTTATTCGCGCCCCCCTCGAGCGTCCGAGACGGGGCTGGAGTGCGGCCAGGCACTCCTGCCTGCGCGCGTCGCTCCGCAGGCTCTGGCCCGCCGCGCCTCCGCGCCGCGCGACCGCGCCGCGCCTCCCGGCGTCGGCAGCCCGCGCTCTTCGCGGCCTCCCGCCCCGCAGGGCGCAGCGACACGCCGCCAGCCCGCAGCAGCCCGCGGGGCACAGCGTGCCGCCGGGGCCGCCGCCGCCGCGGCGCGCCGCGCACAGGCCGCCGACCGCAGGTGCCCCAGGGTTTGCGGAGCCCGCGCGGCGTCCGCGCCCGCGCGGCCGCCGCACGCGCACGGGGCTGAGCCCGCGCGGCGGCCGAGGGAGAGCCCGAGAGAGGGCGCGAGAGCCCGAGAAAGGGCCAATGAGCCGTGAGAGCCACGCCCGTCGCAGCACCCTGTCGGACTCGGGCCCGCTCGGCGGCTCGTTCGGCGGCCGAGCGGGCTCGGACGCCAAGCGGGCTCGGAGGAGCACCTCGGGGTGGGGTCGGGGGATGGCGCTGCATTGCAGATGCATCGGCGATGCGGCTCGATCCAGAGCCTGATCGTCTCCACGCCGATGTCGCCATCGGCGATGCCACACGATCCTCCGACCCCATCTATTCAGGCACCATGAAGCACGCTGGAAGCCTCGGCGCCTGTCGCGTGTGTGCTTCATTGCAGTGGTCAAGGTGCTGATATTCGGTGCGCGCGTTTGGCTTACAATTCAGACGTGCGTTGTCGCTCGTGTCGGTTTAATATGCTCGCGATTGCTACGTGTCCACACTTTCTTGACATAAGACGGTTCGTTTGTGCTCCGCATTGGCCTCGCGTTGAGATTCACGTGAGCGTGGCGAACTTGGCAACTTGCACGATGCGAACTTGCGATGCAACAGGTGATGCCACAGCACCACCAGACCGAAACAACGCTACGATGCCACGAACCGACGGCCGCATCGCCTTGCACCTTTTCGTTCCGCCCTTGGCTTCGCATTGCACGTGCCCCTCGTCCTTCCTTATCGCACGCCCTCCCTCCTGCCCGCTTCGCGCCCCCCCCCATCCGCCCTCTCCTCCCGAGGTGGTAAGGCCTCCCAAGACGGGCGTCCTCGCCGGGCGCTCTGGAACGGCGGGCCCGTGGCGGACCCCCCCTGCGCAGGCAGCCGGCACGAGCCACGCAGTCCACCTGTGCAGGAGCGGCGGCCACGGACCGTCCTGGAAGCATCGGGCCTGGGCCTTGCCATGGCGGGAACGCCTCGGCCTGGGCCTTGCCAGTAGGGCCGTTCGCAAAAGCAGCAGGTGGCACCACCCCGACTCACGCTCGCCATGCTTGGAGTTGTCCTCTGCTGCCGGGGGCACACCGTGCGCAGATGATGAGCGCACGCCTCGATTGCAGCTCTGGTGAGAAAGCTGCTCGGCGTCGCGCTGCGTTTAGAATCCGCTGCCACCTCTGCGGGACCCCGAGGCACTGCAAGCCACCGCTCGCAGAGCTCGACCGCACTTCGCCCCGAGGCACCACGAGCCACTCCCCGCAGGGGCGGGAGAAGTGACGTTCGGCAGGGTCCCGTTGACCCGCCCCCAAACCAGGGCAGCGCGCGCACGCTGGGGACGGCCAAGAGGGCGGGTGATGACTTGGGGGGGGGGATGTCATGGCCAAGGCCACGACACCTCCCCAGACTTCCCGGCGCCTCGTCTTGTTCCAGTGCGTCCCCCGCCTCCCCCCCCCCCCCGCGCCGCGCACATGCCTCGGGCCGCGACCTGCGAGCCCCCCTCCCGGGCGCCCCCCTCTTGGCGACGCCCCCGAGGCAACGCGGGCGCGACAGGCCAGGCGCGCTCGGGCCGAGGGGGGGCACGGGCCTCCCGCCGGCGGGCTCGCGGGGGCGACGCGCGCTCTGCAAACCCCGCGCCTGCGTCCAGAGCATCCCGCTGTGCGAGTCACCGTCCCCCACGGCGCGGAGCTCTTCTGGCATCGGCGATCCATCGCCGACTGTTCGTCGGTAAGTCCCCCGACAGCATATGAGGTGAGGCCTGAGGAGGATGCAAAGGAGGAGTGCGAGGAAGAGGAGGCAAGGAGTAGTAGGAAGGTATGAGGAGTTGAGGAGTTTATGTGAGGAGTGCCGGGAAGGAATGAGGAGGAGAGGAGGTGGAGGAGGTGATGGAGTAGTGTAGGTATTATAGGATGAGGGAGGAGGAGGGGAAGGAGGATAATGTAGGAGGAGTAGAATGAGAGTAGGAACCGGGTCCCTGCCGGGTTCCCCGCCTCCGGTACTGGCGAGAAGGGAGTAAGTAGGCCTCCCCCCTCCGCGCGCCAGTCAACGGTGCGCGGGTGGCTGCCCGCCTCGGTGGGCTCTCCAAATGTGCTGCGGCGATAAAAAAAAATGGCTATCCTGGCCGTGCGCGGAACTCACGCGCTCAAGTCCACGCCGCGTGAATGACAATGCTCTATCGTGAACCCTCGATCCCTGAGCATCGCAGCTCCAACCTTCCCTGCCCTCCTCCCCCCCCCCCCTGACCTCCCCTCGTCCTCACGCCACACACCCTCCTCCGCCCCTCGCACTCCCTCCTCCTCCTACCCCCCTTCCGGTCCTCCTGCTCCTCCTCCTCCTCCACCTCCTGCCTCCTCCAACCTTCCTCCCCATCCTCGTCCTCCACCATCGTGTCATCGTCCTCCCACCTCCTCCTCCTCTCCTCGACCTCCACCACCTCCTCCTCCTCCAACCTTCTTCTCCTCCTCATCCTCCTCCTCCTCCTCGTCCTCCTCCTCGTCCTCGTCTTCCTCCTGTGCCGCGCTCGCGGCCCTCCCCGCCCCCTTGTCCTTTTCGCTGTTTTTCTTAGGTAGGACTCATTTCAAGTCCTCCGATTCGATTCGGTTCGATCTCGATCGGTTCCGATTTCGATTCGATTCGGCTTCGGGTTTCGATTTGGGGTCCGGTGTCTCAACGCAGGCCTACTAGCCTACCGATTTCTGCCGATTCGACTTCTCCCGACTCGGCTGCCGATTTCCGCCGACCCGATTTCTTCCGATCGCCGATCCGACTTATCGATTCGATTGTGGGCTTTCCTGCATTTGACGCCACTCCGCCCGTCGCGTCCGTAAGCCTGCACGCAGCCGCGTGCTCCTCCCTCCCCCCCTCCCCCTCCACGACCGCCTCTCTCTGCCGCTGGGCTCGCCGCCGAGTAAAAGAGCGGCCCGCCGCGCTGGCGGCCGCACTGTCCTCTCGCGCAAGGCCCCTGCTCTTGTCGTCGCTTAGATACAGTAGGCACATCAAAGAAGAGACCCGCCTGCCCGCAGGCGCCGCGCGAAAAAATCTCCCCCCCCGATGGCCCAAGGGGTCCGCCGCAGCTCCTCGGCACCCCAGGAAGCCCTGGAGATCGACGCGGCGTGCCCCCAGATCTCTTCCGGCAGGATCCCCTATCGCGTGCGCCCGCCGTCATTTTGGAGCCCTCCGCAGGCGAGACGCCGCCGCTCCTGCCCCTCCGGTCGGTCGTCGCTTGCGGGCACGGGGAGGACGCGGTCTGCACCCTGCTCTACGGGAGCAGCCCGAGGTATTTCTTCGGCGCCTGCGTGCTGGGCGCGAGCCTCTCGCGGCACGACCCGGAGGCGGCGCGCGGCCGTGCCGCAGGCACACCAAGCAAGAGGTGGGCCTGCCAGCGGGCACCTGCCCCGCGATAGCTTCTTATCCCCTCACGGGACGAGGAGGAGGAGGAGGAGGAGGAGGC